TCTCACTACATAAACAAAAGATCATTTATTGTATAGATGGCCTTGATCTTGGACTCAAAATTCAGCCACAGTGTAACCTCAGTCATTCACTAAAAGGATTTGTTTGGCTTTTATTTTTTAAATGTTCCCATCTTGTTTCTGGAAAAAGATGTGATAACAGATTTGCAATGCACCTGACCTACATTCTTCAAGTTTATAAGGGCCCAGCCTAGTCCACATTCACATTCCAGTGTCTCCTCCTGGAAAAACAGAGGCACTTTCCAGATGTGTTTGATATACTTCTGCAGTGTAAATGCTATGCCAGGGTTTCTTAATCACAAGCATTAGTTTTTATTTCATTTGAGATTTTGCCTTCCAGTAAACTCATCTTTCCACAGTGACAAAGGCACTACAAGGTGCAAACTGGAAGAAGCCCTCTGAGGTCGATTCTCTGACAGGATGGGAGGACGCAGTCCCCACTGCATTTGCATCAGCAGGAGATATGGACTCAGAGGAATGCAGACCACCATCAGCCAAAGGAAGGGAGGAGGGAGAAACACAAAACTGGAATTTTCCAAAGTATTCCTTCATTGTATCCTGGCTTATCTGTTTTGTCTTTCATATTAAAAACTCCGTATTTTTATAATCAGTTTTAAAGGAAAATTCAGCTCCCCTTACAGTCAAGGATTTGGAACATATGTTAGCTATTCATAAGACTAATATTTTAAATTTGTTCCTGTCATTATTCATGCAGGAGGCTAAACAGTATTTAAAAATGGTTTAACACAATTTTTGCTACTAAGTCTAAAAACATAACCTGTTTTCCCAGACTAGATAGATGCTTATCACAGCACTACATTTTAAGCTGCATTCCACTGCTTGCAAGAGAAGTATTTTGTCCTTTGGAAAAGATCTCTTAAGAAGTGAGAACTTAAAAAATGCTGGCCTCATCAATGTTTACATCCAGAACAATTCCCTTTGCTTAATGGTTGCCAAGAGCTTACATCCACTAAGAATATAGACACACAGGCTCAGTTTGCTTGCACAGAGCTGTACATTTGAGATTCCACACAGTTACCTACAGAATGACTCTCCTATGTGACCACGCGTGTAAATGGAAGGAAACATTTTATCAAGCAAACTTTATTAGATTAAGTGGCTACTGAGCGCGGGGAGGGAAGGGGAAATCAAAACATTTCTAAAGTAATAAAAATTAATTTAGGCTACTGGATGTAAATTTGACAGCACATACTCCCTTGCTTCTCTTTATGGTGGGACCCTTGCTTAGATGTCAAACTGAGATGAGTCTGGAGATAAGATATTGTGAAAATGATGCCTTGAGAGGCTACCTAGAACAGATGCTAGACAGTGTTACAGGAATAAAGTAGGTATTTATTAAAAAGCCTTCGGATACACTTTGGGCAGTACAAGAGCTGGCCAAGGCTACACCCAAGATGGACAACAGGTCCATCTTTAAGAGTTTTCACACTTTTATAAGTTTTGGTCCATTTAAATATTGGGGTTAATTGTCCAATTGCAGCTTCAGGTTATGAAGTCCCATCCTCCCAGATTGTTCTCCTCAATTCATTGTTGTTTATTTTTTTTTGGGCCCTTGGTTCTCTGTTCCTTATAGGCTGGAAAAGGATTGTTTTGTCTAACTTAACTGTGAAAAGAACTTGCTAACACTTCATATGAAGTTCAGAGTTATATACTAATGCAGTACAAAATCTATCAAATACTATGGCATTAATTATTTGATTGCAGAAGTTCAGAAGAGTCCATGTTTTGGTGTAGATGTCCCCAAAAATTTCCTTCCCCATGTGTTTGGTTCAGCACAGTCATAGCACAGCCTCCAGTTTTGGCATGTTGGTTGTGCTTTCTGGGGAGAAAATCACAGCAAAAATAACCTTTCTTGGGTATACGCCATGTTTTCAGATGGCAAACCCCTTAGGGCATCATCTTTTTCATATAAGGAAAATCCCAGATGAAAAAAGTCAAAATATTTGCCACCTCCTTGAGAGAGCCTGAAAGATTTAGCTGTCACCTGCCAGTCAACAAAAGGAAGAAATCACATCTAAATCTGATTAGACCACGATTGTACATTTGTTAACACAGACCTCCTGTGCCGAGCTACTAAGTGAGGCCTAACTAAGTTAGGAAAACAAAACTGGTGATAGAAAAGAGAAAGTCAAAGGGAAGGGGAAAACAAAAAGGCTGCACCAGAAGAAAATTTACTGTACTGTCCTGAGGTGACTTTATGATGCTGAATTGCATCCCCATTTGTCTGTTTAGCCCAAAAATAAGTTGTGCACCTTTGAGGCTGGTTCTGAGAATGAAGCGTGGGAGAGAAGAAGTGTGCAGTTTGTTTTCAGAAGCTGCACTCACTCCTCCTCAGTCCCTCTACTGGACTATGTTGTCTGTGCATGGACAGACAGCAGGACAGATCTCTCCTTTGCTTCTTAGTTAGTTTTTAGCTGGCTGAGACGGAGAAGTTCCCTGGACGGCAGTTTTTCTTTTCCTTGGACCTGTTTAACCTGCTCTGGACTGAACACCGGAGGAGCACAAGCAGCTCCATCTGTGGCCACCACAGCATTTCCAGCACTGAGGGACTGATAACAAACTGATAACAAACTGAGTGAGCTGAGCTACAGCCACCAAGGGGGCTTTCTGAGTTCCTCATCTCTTCAGAGTGGCAAGAAGTTTTATTGTTTAATACTGCTCATTTTTGTGCTGGGGAATGCTTTGCCTGTTAGATAAACAGGTTTTTTCCACATTTCTCCAAGGAAATCTTTTCCCAAATCGATTGGGGAGGTGCCAGTTAAATCTACTTTCTAGAGGAACCCCTTTGGAGGTTTTCTCTCAAATTTGCCCTAAACTCGGACAAGGGAATAAAAAGTGAAAGTTGGACTCTGGGACTCCTTCTCACAGTCCTAGGAAAATGAGGAGAGGCAATATGAACATAGGAGCAGTGAGCTGAAAACTGAACAAGGGAAAATAATGATAGTCCTGTAGATATTTTAGGGAATCTTCTGAAGTCTTTGAAATGCTGACAATGACCAAAGATACATTAAGTGACAGGCACTCTGCACACAGAGCCAGAAGCCTTTCTTTTAGAAAATCATCTTGCTCATCCCTTGAAAAATCAGAGAAAGCAGAAGGGCTTTCTAGACAGTTCTTATATCTCATAGATAGCTATAAATCTAAGAAAAAAGTTAATATTTTGTAAGAAAAAAGTCAGGCTTTACTTTCTGAAGGGTCAGTTAAAGAGGCTGGGGGAAACCTGAGTACCATACACTTACTCTCCAGCCCCAAAGGGAGGAAAAATATGAGGTTTTGCCTTTTTGTTGTTGTTTGCCTTTTCTGTAAGAGGTTCAGGGAACATTCTATAACATCCATTGGTGAAATGTTGTCTCTGCCATTTCAGTAAGGGACAAGAGTACACAGCTGATCTTTCTTCACTAGGGAAGGAGATAATTTTGAGGTTAAGGGAGATAGCTACTGGAAAAGAATCCTATTTAATAAAGGAACAAGCAATTCATTTGGCAGAGCAGACAAGAAAGGCCTGACAAAGCAACAATAATAGCTTTAACCTCAGGCTGTGTGTGGTCCACTGGTGAAGTGTTTTGAGAGCCATGGTTTGTCTGTCCTCACTGAGCAGAGAGAGAGAGAAAAACAACAGACTTTGTGCCATTGCTGCCTGTGAATTTTTGGCCTTGTTACAGCAAAGGCAAAGGAAACTGTGAGGCCAACTCATTCTCTGCTTGAGATTGAACATGCTATTGTTGTGGTCATGGTAAAAACTAAGCAGTTGTTTGGGCTCAATAGACGCCACCCTAAGTTCTAGATTTCACCAAGAATACCCCAAGTTTAACCAATAATTCATTTCTTTAATCATTGTTTTCCAAGGGAAATTTAATTTAAAAGATGTATTTATAACTGACTGAAATCCTAAGCTATGCAAACAAAACAATTGTTGTTTGAAATAATGCCTGTCTTGTTGGGATGAGGTCCAGAAGTCATATTTTGTCAGTGCCAAGCTGCAATGGAGTGACCAGAATTCTCTTCCAAACCTAATAATCCACAGCTTCAAGGGCCAAATCCTGCCTTCAGCTCCACCTCTGTATGTTCAAGTCTTCTCCACTGACTTCACATTTGGCCCTATATAGGGAAAACAAGAGTTCACCTCCGTGTCATGTTCTGCTCAATTTCTTCTTGGATTTCCCTTTGTCCATTTTGCTCCCAGATTTAAAAAAGGTTTTAAATCGGTCAGTAGATTAACTCAAAGCAGTACAGAGTCCATATACCATGGGCCAAAAGGCCAGTAGAATTTGGAATGTGCTGGTGCCTGGAACTGAGGTCTAAACATACAAAGCATCTTTTGCTCTGGGTGATGGGGAGCTGCCTCCTAGTTTTTGGGGTGTTTTTTTTGGTTTTTTGAGAAATCTAGTGCCAGCTATTGCACAAACTAAAATATATTTTAGTTAATTGCAGGCATCGGGGCCTATCAGATTTAAGGATCTCATTTCATCATATTTTTCAGTGAATTGTTACCACGATTGATTCTGCCTTGGGTGCCAAACCTAACCCTTATAAGTGCAAAGGCAATTAGGAAGGAGTGTCCATTACCAGCCTTTCCATTTGCATGGCTCACACAGAAGTGAAATGAAATTTCACCCTGTGCCTTCCTCCCTTTTCTCCTTCCCATCCTAATTATGAAAGAGGAGGCAAAGAAGTGTGTGGGAAAACAACTTTGCTAACTTAAAGTATTTTGAAAGGCTGATTGAATAATAAATTATATATCCATATGGAGCTTGGGAGTTGTTGTCATCTTATTGCAAATCTCCCATACCTCCTCAGTGATGTCTCACAGCCAACCAACTCCAGCTCTTCTCAAGCAGCTCACCCACTCTTTTATAGCACTCATCCTCATTGGACACAGCTGTGGCCTATTGAGGGCAAGCCTGTTCCTATCTTTGGCAATTAGTACAGCTGCAACTCCTCAGGGGTGAGATTGCCTTTTGCACTATCCCTATTCTTTTACACTCTATCCTCCCACAAGGAGTCATCTTTCTAAACTTTTGTCCACAACCAAAAATATCAGATGTTTTTGGAGAAGAGTGGAAGTTGGGGCAATCAAATGTCCTCATGCTGACATGCTCTGGGAGAACACAGAAGTAAGTATGAGATTAGGCAATGAGCACTGTTTTTCTGCTCCACACTCATTACTGGAACTGGACAGACTTGCATATGTAGGGAAAGAAATAGAAAATCATCCTGTCCCAGAAAAGTCATTCCTTTCCTATGCATATGAATTCAGAAACCTATGACATGATTTATTGTTTCCTTAATGGAAATTAACACTCAGATATGTTGTTACAAATGTTTCTTTCAGGCAGTATTGGAGGTGCAGAAGCAACTGCAGAGAATAATCAGTGAGCAGCACTGATCGTTCAAGGTAAATAACTTTTGGGAACTACCTAAGCAAAATACGGCTTTTTATGACACATTGCCTCACAGTTCACAGCCTAAATCTGGCTTCTATTGAAAGTGCAGATATGTTTGATCAAAAATTTAGCAAGGCTGCCTTTCCATATCAGAAACGTATGAATCCATTAACTGCATTCCCAAATGCTTTTTATTCTTGCCTTGTTCTTTTCTGTCCTCTACAGCTTTGGCTTGCTTTATATAATTTCACAGGGTTGTGTGTGAAGGAGTTTCTATTTATTGTTGGTTTTGTCATTACTGTTGTGGTTAGGTACACTTTCACAGGGATTGGGGAAGCTGAGCAGAAGGAAGAGGGTGGGAAGTAAATGACAAAGTAGTTGGTTGCTTTGCAACTCTTCCTACAGCAGAATCTGTCCTGCCTCTTCCCACTTCTAGTCAAGAAATAGGATTCAAAAAGTTTATCATGCCCCAAAGAAGATGTCTGCTGAGATGCACTGTTGCACATGACTGCTCTGGCTTTCATCTAATGCACAAGTCACTGAAGGTTACCTTCCTCCCTTGGCTTCTTGTAGCAAAGCATCCATCTATAAACAGCTGATGGGACAAACAGAAAAAACATTGAGAGAAGAAAACTGCAGCAGACACAGTTTTGTGGTCACTGCAGAATCTTCTGTTGTTTGACTGTAGAAACCTATTATTATTTTTATTATTATGGTATTTTCTGCTGAGATTTTCTTTGCAACAACATTGCTTCATTGCTTGTCACTGCTGTCACTTGTTCTTGTGCACAGAAGTCTCAAGGGCCCATTTCTCTGTGCTCTCCTATGCCCTTTTTTCTTCCTGGAGACATTCAGAAGTGCAGGGATGCCCAGGCAGGCCCAACACTGCTCAACATAAATGCAGCCAGGCTTCAAGTTCACTTGGATGTAGATGATAGATCGATCTGCTCCTGTTCCTCAGGTAGAAAGGGAGTATGATTCATTGTATTGCAGTGAATTTACCTTAAAAGAATTTACCTAAAAAGCTGATACAAATCTTGTGCAATTTATGAAGTGCAATTTTTAAAGCGAGAGGAGGGGGCTCCTAGCAGAGAAATTCAGGTAGGGCTTTAAAAGATATCCCTGCTTCTTCAGTTGTGTGTTTTAGATACACATAGTTAATGTGTGTCCTAAATGTGTTGCTGCTAATGAAGCCTCTCCTGCAGATAGTGTGAGATAGTCTGAAATGCTCTTCCATCAGAAATACTTGCTAATTACTTTGCATGGTTGTACTAAGCAGAAATTTCCACGTCAAAAGGGCCAAAAAATCTCACAGCACAATACAAGTACTGCTCTCTCCTTCAGCTTACAGCTCTATTTACTTTCTCCCATCCTTATTTCTGATTTTTGCCTTGTCTTTCTCTTTGCTTGACTAATAACAGCATCCACCTGCCCTAAAAAAAAACCCATGTTCCTTACTTGCATGCAATGTGGCTTTGGGAATGCTGCATCTAGGTTGTTACAGAATAAAGTTAAAACAAAATCACTGCCAACCATTAATATCAGCAGACTCTTAAATAATTTTCTTTCATGGTTTCATGCTCTATTTTTATTAGATATTTAAGGCACTATGTTCTTACTAAGATTACAGGATGTTGCAACTAATGAAAATAAGCCATTGGAACAACTTTGACATTACTAGTCAGGAACAGTTCACATTTCATAAAGCTGTTTTATGGGAACCTCTAATTATACATTGATAAGAAAATATGAACTGTGAAGAGTTTGTATGATCTTCAATTTTCAGCCAGAAGATTTTAGCATAGAAGCTGATCATTTTCAAAGGGAAGTATGTGCTCTATTGGATCAGAGTATGGAAGAATTTAGTTGTTTATGCAGAACAGAACATATCCTTGCAAACAAAACCATTGTTGAACAAAACATGGTGGTGCAGATTTCAGTGTTTTGCAGTAAAGAGCCTGATTCCTCCATGGAGATGGAGATGTATAATCATGGACACACACAAAGGTAATCAATGTCATAAGATGCAAGTGAGGTGATAATAATTTTCACCTTATCACACTAAGTGATTTCAAGTCACTTTTAACCTTTTCTTATGTCATAAATAGGTCTTTATCTGCACAGGCTGCACATGTGTGTAACAAATTAGACTTCAGCTTATTATCACCATTACTCTATCTGCCTTTGCTCCGTTAGGTATGTTGGGCACTTCTCAAATGGAATTAAGCACCTCCTTTTTTACAGCTGTAAATGCACCAAGACCTGGGCCAGGAAGAGAGAAATGGTGCCACTGTATGTGCCAAGGCACCTCCATCCCACAGCACATGGGAGGATGCTACAGGAGCTGGGAAAGGCACACCAAAGCTGCTCCTTTCCTAGAGTTCTGGTGGAACAAAAGTTGTGCACTCACTACCAAAAATGAAGAAAAGAAAAAAAAAAAAAGATGATAAATGTTTAGTCTCTTGAAGACTGTTTGTGTCCCAAGGTTCTTTCTCTCTCCCCCAAGCTATTTCCCTGATTCCTGAAATTTCCACTGAGTCTTCTTCATTCTGGGCATGCAGTCTGCATCTCCTGCTGAACTGGAGGATGCTGCTCCTGAGGATGAAAACTGTCCTAAGTCATTCTTGTCCTTATTTGTGGGAAGGCAGTCAGTCTGTGAGTTAGTCTGCATCACTGAAAAGCCTTCTGCTGCCTCTATGTAGAAAATTCTCACCTTGGAAATATTAAGATAGAAATTAGGCAATTAACAGATTAGAAATTTCAAGAAGCAATAAAGTATAAATGAGTTTTCCCATTTTCTGGGGAGGTGAATTAACCACAACTCACCTTCTGCTTGCACCTTTCTCTCTGTGTTGTGTGAGGATTTTGTTTGCACCACTGATTTATAAAGACACTGGCAACACATCCAGCTTCTAGAGGAACAGGAATACCCAGAGGAAAATTTAAGCAATCTAAAAACACCAGGAAGAAGGAGCATTAAAAAAACTTACAATAACATTTATAGAGAATTCTAGTAGGTGCTACCCTTAAAAAGCAGTGTTTATCACTACTTAGCAAAATTGTTATTTTAATTGCTTTTTTCACATGCTAACTCTAAATGACTTTTTTTCCCTCAGGGAAAAAAACAAAACAAAACAACAAAAAAAACCCCCCCCAAAAAAAAACCAAAAAAAAAAAAACCACAAAAAACAAAACAAGAAACCCAAACAAACAAAAGCAACCAAAACACACCAGAGGAACATTTTGTGAAACATTCAGTGAATATGATGAAAAAACCTTAATGCTACCTGAGGCCTATCCCAACAGCCCTAGGATGAACCTCAGAACTGAGTGCCTTTTTCCTATAGCACTGTGTCATAGATACTGGGTGGCAGGAATGCCTGTTCCTGTCTGCCTGCAAGAACTACTGCTCTGGAACTGGTTCCAGCTCATAGCAAGTGAAGCAACTGATTCAAGCCACAGCTATGATTTAAAAGTCCCTAAGAATAAATATTTCATCCCTAAAATACCAAATCCTTTGCTGAAGTCTTATATTTCAAACCCCACAAAGAGCTGTCTGTGAAAGTCTGCAGCAATTATGGATAGCTTACAGATAATCACAAGATGGTGATGCTAAATCCTCTAAAATATAATGTAATAGTCTTTAGTAGAGGTAGATGAATCAATAAATCAATAAGTAGAAAACATTTATTTGGGGGTCAAATGTAGCTCTTACACTAAATCAGAAGTTTCCTGTGAGCAGTTTAATTCCTTTTTTTTGCTAATTCTGGCAATTTTGCTATGAACTGTTCATTTGACTATTCACTTATCAATATTGGAGTTGTGTGGCTGATCAAGTAAGTAATATTTATATTTCTTCTCACCTTGGATGACCTTGTGGACAAGGTGATGGCCTGATTAGTGAACTGGGATATTGTTAGTCTTCAGGAAACACTGGTGGATGGAGGGATAGAAATGGGAGATAATTTTTAAGAAATTAAAGTTTTTGTTTTTCAATACAAGTAGAACATTCTAGTTATTCATCTGTAATTCAGAAGCATTTCCCCCCCATTCTTTATGTTAAAATAAAATACTTGTTTGTGCCAGGAAAGAAGCAAGGTGGCATTTGTTTCATGACTGAGGAGCTGCAGAAGGGACAAAGCCTCCTAACACTTCAGATTCACTAAGAATTGTCAAAGAGGCATCATTTTGTGACAGGAAGAAAAAAGAAAGAATTATTATCACAGTGAATTTTAATGAACTCCTGAGGGTTCATCTGAATTTTGCAGTGTTGGAAAGAATGAGTTTCATACCTGCCTTAAATTTTTGTTCCCACTACTTCTCAGATTCATCTTGTTTTACTGACAACTCTGACTGTCATCCAGAATTACTGGAAATAATGCCAGAGAAAATGAACCCCATCCCTAAATTTTGAACCTGACCACTGATGCCACTTGTCAAGTTCCTTGTGGTTATCCCTTCCTCCCCTTTTTTCTGGGCTTGGCCTGAGACATCCTGAGGAAACAGCTGTGACACCACACTGTGTGAGCCCAGGGCCAGGAGTTTCTTCTTCCCTGAGAGTGGCACCACAAAAATCCAGTCTGATTTTTCCTTTGGGTTTTGAGGAATACATGAATGTTTGGAGGATGTAATTGAAACTCAGGCAATATAGGATGTTCCACTCACTTAGCTGAGACAGTCTGCTTTGATCCACTATGGTGCATTCCTGATGAGACAATAATTCCTGCAGGAAAACTCAGATTTAGCCCGAAAGAGTTCAGGTCTACAAAAAGGATTTTTCTGATGGGACCAGAGTCCAGTGTGAGACCTCCTAAAATGAAACAAAATTATCAAAATTTTGCAAAGAAAAACCCCTTTTCCTCCCTATTTAGAAAAGCAGAAAAGAAGTACACCCTCCTGTTTTGTATGTTGGGGATTTAAAATGCTATAGGGATCTTACATGTCTGACATTGATGAAACAATGATAATGGTAGAAACACATTTAAATCTCTTTAGCTTCAGGCTCTGGAAGTCTCAGGCCAAAGCACGAAAGATTTTATAAATACCTACAGAAAAACTACATCTCACCTCTGTCATGTGTCCTGTCTTCAGGCAAAGTGTTTGGCCCTGCCTCTCAGATATTTTCATCCAATCTGTAAATTTATTACACCTTCCATCCCTGCTATTGATGAAAATTCTCAAAGACACTGAGCTGAGATGATAGATAGATAGATAGATGATAGATAGATAGATAGATAGATAGATAGATAGATAGACAGACAGACAGACAGACAGACAGACAGATAAATCCACATCCAGGACTGAGAATATGGTTGTTTTTCTCACTTACATGCTATGATTTTCATCTTCCCTAACTTTACATGTCACAAGCATGGCTACTTTCCTCTGAGCAAGGTGTCTAGACAGTTTTATAGACAAAGGAGATAAACAAAAGCTTCAAGAACATAATTCAGTTCAGCCATGTGCCTTTGGGAGAGCTGTGTTCCAGCTGCCGGTTCCCCATTTCTCTCACTGACTATACAGGAGGTGTAAGTGAGTGGTGCCCATGCAAACCCCTGAGCTGTGGGTGATCCAGGTAGAGGAATCCCAGCCTAGCTGACTGGCACTGCTAGTTGGGATGCTGTGATAAGAATTCCTGTGTCTGAGGCTGCAGGCAAGTGTCAGCACTACCCCTGAAACTACCCTCACTCCAGCAGGAAGTGTTACTACCTTGCACTTCTTATTCTTTCAATAAGATATAAGATAAGGAAATGTGTCTGTCTGAAAAGCAGCAGCACAAAATGAGGGTGAAGCATTTTTGATGAAGGCATCCTCAAGTCTGCCAGAGAAGGTAAGTTGTAATGGTGCTAACTTCTCTGCAAAGTACCAGATACCAAAATGTGAGTTTTGGCCCTAATGTGTCCCTGAGAACATGTTGGAAAGGCACTTCCTTGCCATTGTCCCCTTCTTGTGATGGTAGGTCCTTTTTTGCAGTGTTTAGAGCCATTTGTGTTTTTATTAGGTGAGCCTCGAGCAAAACCATATATTTTTTCTTTACTGCCTAATTACCTTGGTTTTGAATATATGTTCCCACTAGGTATGAAAGTATTCCAAGACATTCAACTCAATTTTGGTTTAAATTCTTTTAATAATTGAAATTTGGGAGCACTGTGCATTGTTCTTGGATTAATCTCTTAGTGGAAGAGAGGAGTTCGGGCTAAACACCCCTTAACCCTGTCTGGCATTCAGACAATTTTCCTTCTCCCTTCAGATATTCCTAGGTAATCTTTTGGTTTCCCTACTTTACTTTCAAAATGCCAGTTGTAATGAACTGTTTAAGCATGGAGATTCAGACAAAAAAAAAAGAAAATAAGAAAAAGCATTACATCTAGTTGACATAACCTACTATTACACTTGCATTGTAAGCAGAATTATTGAAATTGTTGACTTGTACAAAATGGCTCTCTAGCCAAAACATCCTCAGATATAAGTCTACTATTTTTAAAGCAATAACAGAAACCATCAGCCTGCAGTGTTACCACATTTGCTGTCTCTTAGACTTAATTAGTTCCCCAGGATTCTACATTGCAATAAATTTTTCTTTGGGGAGGTGTTCAGTACAAATTCCACCTTGTGCTTTTTGAGGACAAACCATGCTCAACCAGAGAGCCTGACTGATGTGTCCTTTGACTATGTACAGCTTTGGAGTACTTGTCTCTCATATGACCATACATTACTTTCTTTCCTGGAAACATGATTGTGTCTACAATAATTCTTATTTCTGTTACAAGACCAAGCCTAAGGTGGCTGAACAATTAAGTTTCCATTGTGCTGAACTTCTAAAATGCTTCCTATGATAGAAAAAGTCCACACATTTTCAGTATATAGATGCAAAGGTATTGTCCTTATGGAGGGAAAAGCTTCAGATTAATTTTTTAACAGCATAGACCTGCTGAAGTTTCTGCATGGCTGGCCAATCAGCCAGCCTGCTCCTTCTTCCTTGACTAGCCTAGGAAAAAAGGGGAAATTCCCTTGCATGAAGTAAGGTAGTCAACTGATCCTCTGGCGAAAAAACAGAGGACAAACATTTACCAGTGAATTTCCACTCAGGAATCAGGAATGAGAGATTTCCACAGAATGCACAAAGGAAATCTCAATGTATTACAGCTATGCAGAACTGAAAACTGCTCCTGTTTTTGTATGAGTTCTGCAGTATACTCTTGCCTTTATTTGCCTACATCAATATTAAAAGTAATCACAGAAAAGAGATGAGGTAGCTTAACAACCAGTAAACAACTCTAAAGTGTGTGGACATACAGTCATCTCTTTTAATTATACCTGTTTTGTATTACTTTCCTCAATCTGTTTGCCAAATAATCTAAATAACTATAGTCTGAAAGAAACAGTAAATAATGTCATCCACAAACTGACCAAAATAACTACATAGATTAAATTTACCTGGGAATAATTTTGAAATCAAAATGGAAGTATTTGAGATGAAAAGAAATATATACATGCAGATTTTTGCAAACTTAAAGAATCGTTCTTTTTTTTTTCACTGATTCATTGTTACATAAATACCTAAAGATGTTTTGGGATATAGAGTCACATGCAAAAATTTTTGTTAAACTAATTTATACTCTTTAATTAGAAGTTTGGTTCTTTTTTTTTTTTTTTTTTGGTCAAATTTTGTGTTCAAATATAAGCAAGGGGCATAGAGGAGTTTAGGGATCACTATCAGGAGCTGCAGCTGTCTGTGACTGCAAGGTGACACCAGGGAGGAATGCATAGGTTTTCATACTAGAAGTGTAACACAAAGATGGTGCTGTAGTGAGCACCGTGTTATTATGCAAGTCCAGAATTCTTAAGCTGTTTGCGTGAGAAATTAGCATCACTTATATTTTTGAAAGCAAGCCCATGTGTATTCTCATCTTCTATCAGCTCCTGCTTCCTCTGTGAAGGCGACTTGGCAAGCAAACCAGAGACAAATGGATTTCCACATGACCTACTTATCTGGCAAGATATATAAATAGTCTACTCCAGAATTTTGGAGAACCCATTCAAACACTTTGGAATGGAGTTGTGGAAGAACACAAGGTCAGTGGAGGCATCTTGCACGTGCTTCCTGAGCCGGGAGGCAGCAGCAGCATCGTGCCCACGTGTGTGCAGCCATCACATTCCATGTGACCACGGCATCACCTCGCCGGTTAAAGTGCACTTTACTGAGCACTGCGTGCACTGCAGGTTGGTCACAACGTCCAGTCACAGCACAGGAACTGTTCCAGATGGCAATGGCTATGTGGGATCCAGGAATGGCAACATTCCAAACGTTCCCAATCCTGCAGCAGGATTTGGCACTGTAGGCAGAGGGTGGATCCCTTCAGAGCTCCCTTCTTGAGCTGCTTTGCTGGCCACATCTTCTTCTTCAAAACCAACAGCTGTCATTGCAACATCCTTGTTAAAAACAGGCAAAATAACTTTCCCTTCAAGAAAAAAATTCTCTTTCTTTCTCTCTTCTTCCTCAAAGGCCCTGTACTCAAATACCAAAGACCTATGTAGTGCAAATAATTGAACTTGAAACACCTTTATCTTCCAGGTTTTCCAAGGAACAGCACAGAAATAACCTGAGGGAACAAAGCGAGGGGAGAAGGTGGTCATGTTCTCACATGGGGTTACAGTCCTTCAAGCCCTGAAGGGAGGTTGCTTCTTCCAAGCACAAGCTGTATTGCAGAAGAATTTCAAAATGGGGCATGCGTAATGTTGCTTAAACTTTCAAGACAGAAGTATAGCTCAGTTATTCCCAACAGAGGTCTTTGTGACTTTTATCATTAAGTTCATGAAATTATGCCCTTGTCTAAGCTGTCTAAGTGTTAAAATTTTTCTACATGGAGGAACTGACTAGTGTAATTATTTCACCACTCTCTTCATAGAGTTTTACAATTATAAATATGCAGTTGTTAAGAGTCAGATCGGAATATTATGCTCTTTATGCATTTCATTACCCTTAGTTCCTTCAGTTTACCCTAATACAGGGCATCTATATTATGAACTGCAGAACACTGCTGGATATGCCCAGAAATCCACAGAATTAATACTCTTGGATTTTCTAACTGTTCACTAGCTTGGAAAGAGAGGTACAGCTCTGTGCAGCCCCCTCCTGAGATGGGAAGTGAAGGCACCAGTGGGACTGTGAATGGGTAGCTCAAAAGAGAGCAGAAAAGGAAATCCACTGCCATGACTAGGAAAGGAGCAGTCTGTGAGTCAACATCTTAACATTTGGAAATTGTTCTTTCCTCTATTATGTTTTCTTCGGTTCCACAATGCAATAAAAACATTTTATGTCCAGTCTTGGGGCTTGTGACTAGGCTCAACAACTAAGTATGGTCAAAAAGGCAAGCTTTATTGTTTATTATTCAACTATGACATTAACTCTTTTTCTGTAGCCTATGTTTTATTGTTACATGACAGGGATGAAGCCCCCTCACAAAACTGATAAACAAATACACGAAAACTTAAGCTGGAGTCCAGGCTGACACTGGTTTCAGCATGTTCTAGAACACTAATGTTTTGAAATTTGACCTCCGGGACAATCTTTTGTCTCTGGACCAGGTAACTTGTTTAGTTGGTGCCTCCATGGAGACTGCTTAAGCCAAAACAAGCTAGCTTTGATTGGCTCTAGGCATGGGTTAATTAATGGGATTCAAATGAACCATTGGATCATGTCACAATGTCCTAGTGCCAATGGCATTTTTACTTAGTTCACACTGACTCCGCATGTTCTGAATACTAAATTGTCTCCAGGGTTCTAAAGAAAACTGGAAAATTTTGTGGTCTTATCTGGCACTTGGATAATCTCAAATGTTGAGATTATTAAACAATGGCATAAGTGGTTTAAACAAAAGAGTTGCACTGAAACTCAGATTGAAATCTAAACCTAAGAATACAATTTGAGTTCATGTTTACTGACCAAATCACTTTTTTATTGTTTCCACCAAGCCCTGCTGAGGAAGCTGAAATGGTGTGCAGAAATTCATGCAAGGATTTCTGTGGTCGCATGTGGTCACGGTTTGAATGCTCAGATTCATGTGCTTTGAGTATTGCTAAAGGCCAACGTTCACGTCTTTTCTTATTTCAAATGCTTTTGGCAAAGTATCTTTTTGATGCTCTTTCTTGTAGTGCTTAATAATGCTTCTCAATATCATAATTATCTTGAAAAGATTTATGTTGAAATTGATGCACAGATTTTAACACCTCAGCCTTTCTCCTTTCTTTTTTCTGGTTATTTCTTCGAATGCCCCTCTATGCTACAACCAGTGCTTTGTAACTGTTTGATAGTAGCATCGTTGGGCTCCCTTCAGCCAAGGCATACTAGGGGGACTATTTCTCCGCAGTGGAAGATCACTGGGGCTAGATAACGCAGCAGTGATCCCATTCCAGAACCTGCCATTAAGTAATCTGAAAAAAAACTGTTAAAAAAACCCCACTATTTTTGTTAAAAGTATACTATTATTTTTCTTTATTTAAGATTATTTATTGATCGTATTTATATATTTATTTGTTATTACTTATTTAACCCTTTTCTGAGAGAGTGGAAGAGACAGCACTCACAGCAGAGATGGTTAACGATAATTAACGATAACGATAATTGGATAATTAATTTTTTTTCCTTTTTTTGCTACGACAGTTTCAGACTTGCTAAAAGGAATTTACTTAGGCCGCGCTATTTTTAATGCAGTTTTAATGGGGATCTTTGGGTTGGGTTTTGTTTCTTTGTTTTATTGCTCGGAGTTTTGTTTGTTTATTTGTTTTCCTCGT